CCCCCCCCCCCCTGAGATGACCAGTTTTCTAATACAACTGGTATTCTGCAAAAAAAAAAAAAAAAACTATGTGGTTTATTGGTGTTGAAGTAGAGCAAGAGAAGATCAGTGCACATCCTCCTAAAAAAAATCCTGGATCCGCCCCTGAATGCGACATCTTATTTGTTCACATAAAACTTACATGTATTTTAACTTAAGAGGAAATTCAAATACATGCACTAAAGCAATGTTTGAAGGGAGATCTTATACCAAAACAATGTTCCTCAACACAAATATTAAGCACACAACTTACACTTTGCTTTCATCAAAGGTTTCTTCTTCATTGTCATCTTCACGCCTTACTCTCTTGGATGGTTTTTCCAGTTCTGTAGTCCTTTCTTCAGCCTTTCTTTTAAAACTCATAATTTCTTGTGGAGGATCAAGTGAGCTGCAGTCAGCATCTCCCACTGATGTGTTTGAAACAGTTGGGTTTGTGATTCCAAACAAATTGGTAACACTTGAACCTCTTCTATCTGCTACCTGTTGTGAGTTAGTGGCTTTTTTGCTGTGGCCTGCATCACTTAAGCATTCACTGTCAAAGTTTTTCTTTGTTTCTGTTTGTCTGGAGTTTGATGGCCCTTCACCTTCACTTTTGAAAATCTCTTCTTTACTGCTTCTTTCAGTGATAATCACTGAGTTGATTTTAGGGAATTTTCTTGTCCCATTCCTTTTCTCTGTAATACTTAAATTATGTGGGTTTGCCTGGTCATCCACCATTTCTTTTGCTGCTGGGCAAGAACTTTCACTTGGCATAGTCACTGATGGAGAATTGTCCTCATTGTTAATTTGTTTGGTAGTGAAGTTATGCTCATTAAGAGAAAGTTTATCAGAACTACTCTCGTTTTTGACCAAATCATCGGAATGTGAAACATCATTACACAGAGAATTCTCAGGTAACTCAGGCTTGTACTTTTCTAGCCAAACTGAAGAAATGGATTCCTTTTTCTTGGAACTGTTATTTCTTATGCGATGTCCAGGAAAGAGAATCCTTGAGCTGTTGATTTTCAACAAAAAGATACATTTTTCTTTCAGAATTCCCTAATGGAAGTATTGCTTGCATATTTATCTATTTTCAAAGAAACTGAAGTTTGAATATTCAAA